AAAACACAAATGGCCCATCTAGAGCCAGTGTTTGTTTGTCTGTTCTGGGCCACTGTTGAAGCATGGCAGTGTAACATGGTGACCTCCGTGGTCAAGAACCCACTCCCTCTGTAGATATAAACAACTCAATGTAGGGTAACAAAAACATAAATACTCTATATACTACACTATACTCTATATACACTAAATAAAACATTATATCATATTCCATTTCTGCTAATATATCACCCTAAATACTACACCCTAGACCTTTAATGCATTGCCATGGTTGAAGCAATAACTTGTCCCAGAATAAAATGAATGATAGCTGTATATTTACATCAAACTCTGGATGAAGACACACATTTTCTTATCAATATTTTTTTCCCATTTGCAATATATCATTTATTCATAATAAATGAAGGGAAAGTTCATTACTAATGCTAGTGAGTTTTCTCAGAAAACACAGGACGAGTAAAACATAAGGTCATTGTTATATCAATTATCCTACAATTGTTAACTGAAGAACATTTTACAATAGGTCAGTTTGAGTTGGGAAACTTTGCCAATTTTAGACCAGCTTTGTATTATAAATATTTGGGTAGTATGCGTGAATTAAAGCTGAACTCATCAATATAAACCAAGATTCTGTTAATGTTTTGCCTATTTTTCGCCTAAAATGTCCTCAGAATGATATTTTCATAAACCCTTTGGCTGTAATATGAGAATTTGTGAGCAGGAAATGGGCAGCATACTGTTTCCTGTATTGTTAATACAGAGGTAGAAAAAACTGAGACCAAACCACAGATTTGTATAATAACTAAAAACTTGACTCCAAAATTGCACCTATCATTCCAATGGAGTTGCTCGCCTGGTGCATACGTCAAAAAGTTCTCTAGCTTCCGGGGTTATTTCCATGGTATGCAGCCCACTAAATATTAGCAGTACTGTTTCTCTTGTTAGCCCTGCCCGCGAGTTCCCACTCAGCTCGCTTTTCTCGGCTTGAGGAAAATTGTACAAATATAAAACCACAATGGCTCAAACATTCAGAATAGAAATATTCATAATCTACCTTGTTTGTAGTTTGAAGTGTCCCGTCAACAGTTTTACAGATGTGTCTTTTACAAAGGTGGCCGCCTCTGGGCAAATGCTTTTAGGGCCGCAGGGGATTTTTTTCCCCACTGTAGTACCACAAGTGGACACTGGGAAAAATTGGCTGCAAGGCTGAGCAGGGTTCCTATGGACCTTGGTTCAAACGGTTAAACAATGCTGTGCTTATCAAATATGGACCAAGATTCTGTTCCTGTATCTCCTATGTCTCGCCTAAAATATTTTCATAAACATACTTTAGCTTAGTATTTAACAAGATCATTTGTCACCAGCTGGCTGCCATATTTTTTCCTGGACAAGCTCACAAAATGCTCATTTTTTCTCTGTGTCCTCTGGTCATACAGCACAGATTTCAAAAGTATTTGCATCTTTCTACTGCATAGACAGCCGAGTTTTGTGAAAAGACCATCTTTACAGCAGTAAAATACGTACTTAACAATGTATTATATATTGAAAGAAACCTCTTTGGACTCATTCATCTACCAAATGAATTCCTATTTTTCTTCTAATACGCAAAACCTTCTATGAACATAAAGCTTGATATATAAAAGGCAATGAAACAGATTTATGTAGAGATCATTTCCCATTTCCACATATGTATTAAGTGTACCTGTATTACTTCCATATTTATACAGACATAATGTTTTCAAAGGCAAATGCAGAAAATGCAGTTAATTGTATTGATTGTTCCTAGCTCATTCATATGTCTTGAAATGTTTTAGTGTTGAGTAAACCACCACAGTATTTCAACTCTCACAATCAAGTTACTTAAGGATAGTCACACTGTAGCAGTGAGATGATAAACCTGTACTAACCTCTGCATAAGCCTTTCCAGTGGGAATTTTCCTTAAGTGTCTTTTGTCTGTCATAAAAAGAAAAAAAGAGATTTGGATTGAGGTTAAAGAAACCTGTTGACCCTTGGTCATAGTCTATGTTTGCCTTGTTTCATTAGCAGTGCTGGTCTCAATATTTGTTTCTTTAGCTGTATGGTGAACCTGTCACATAGACTAATGGCTAGCCCTGAGGTTGACTGAGGTTCATATATAATCTATTCACCTTATAGCCTCATCAATTTATCATTACACTTTGAATATACTGTACATTGATGAGAAAATAAATGCCTACAATAAGATTGCCTTTTCTCTCTCTCTCTCTCACACACACACACACACACACACACACACACACACACACACACACACACAGACACTTTAACTGTGATTTGCTCATATCAAAAATGGTTATATTACCATACATTTATATGGTAATATGAGTCCCTTTTCCTTTCTCCTTTTTGGATGGGCTGACTGACACTTCAGCATCCACACAGTCATGGAGCCAAACAAAGCTATTTTTGTGGATGGACCATTATACAAGAGCTGCATGGGGAATCTGTGAGAATACAATCCAGGTGTCATTGCCCCTTGGTAATCTCTCTCGTCTTCAGGAATTCATTTTCTCAGCAGCTTCACTTGAAAATGACATTCTGACACCATTTACATGGAAATCACTTTGCCTCTTCATCTGTAATAGTGGCCTGTGTGCAGACAGGGTCTCTCAGAGGGCTAGACTATTAATGGACATAAACAGTGAAGAGGACGAAGGAAAAGAGAAAGAAAAGAAAGACAGGAAGAAAGGTAGGGAAGAAGGAAAGAAGAAAAGAGAGAAAAAGAAAGAAAGATAATGATGAAGAGGGTGAATACTTAATCACAGCATTTTCAGGGTTAAAGTCAAGGTCAGAGTTCTGGGTATTAAGAGATGAAGAAGAGATGGAGACACTGACGGAAAGTATAATGTGGGAAATTCCCATTTCTCCCCTTTAACATGTGTATCTTCTCTCTCCCTCTCTCACTCGCTCTCTACGTCTCTCATACACAAGAGAGAGATGTAAAGATTTTCCCTGAAAGACGAGAAATCCACCATGAAAGCTCACAGCTGAGAAAGTGCTGAGAGGAATGTGAAAGTGGCTTCTATATGAAGACCATACATCACATATGAGACCCCTTGTAGAATTTTACTTGTGGTAAAACAGATACATGCGTGCTGCCGTTGTGCCTTTCTCTGTTTTAAACTATGTAAAGAAGGGAGGTAAAGGTGGAGAATTAAGGTTATTTGATTGCAGTAACTGCTTCCACCTTAAAGAAAACTGTTGCATTTTTTAAACACTACAACACATGATCCATGTCCTTTTTAAAAATAATACACCAAACATAGCATTACATTCATCCAGTCAGCAACCTTGGCACAGTGCATTGTATTGCAGGCATGCAATATTTAGTTTATTTAAAGAACAACAAGTGTGGCATTAAATAAATCCTTTGCGCCACATAAACAAATTAATTACAGTGATTGTGAGTGAATCTTTTCATTCAGCATACCGAAAATCTTCTTGGCTTTGCAAATAATTTAAGGGGGCGAATCAGTATTTCAGTTTGTCACAATAGTGTTCATTATGCCAGACTGTAATTAGTTTCATGTACCTCCCTTGTGACACACCCAAGATTGAAGACAAATGCTGGACTTGAAAACTTGCATCTTGGGATCTACAGAAAATGTTTCAAGATACAAGCAAATTAAAAATATATTCATGAGCCACATTCAATAAGCTAATATGGAGTCAGAGAAATGCTGACATGCCAACACACCTCCACAACAGCCAGGGTGTGGTGGAGATTTCAGTCCTGACACTGGCAGCGGAGGAGCAGGATAGGCCATTTTCTCAGCAGAACTTTGACTAAGCATTGCAGGAAAAAAAACAGGTGTTACTAATAATAATGATGGCTTTATTGTATCCCAGTGTTCCAGTAAGCCATGGCAGTGTGACAGTGAGCCAGCATACACAATACCCTGTAAATAAAAAAGCTAAGTGGAATTGAGTCATCATTAATTTAACCATTTGCACCTGTGCTTTTCCTGCGGCGACATGTCAAAATGGCCTCCTAGAAAAACACTTCTAGCCTCCCCTTCATCCACAATTAAGTTCTCAGTGTTACACCAAAACTAGACTCTTAAGTATTTTGAGGTAACTTCAAGTCTGAGGTCACAGTGACATTTTCAAGTCTTGTGTGAGGACAGAGCAAGTGTGAAGTCCTTTGAGGCAAGTCTAAAGTCTTCATAAGCAAACTGCAAGTCTTTCAAGTGTCTACATGTTGTTGGCCATTAAAATAACACTGCTTTTGAACATTTTCAAACCTGTTTTTACATAATTGAGACCTTTTAATTAGTTTTAACAAAATACTTTTGAAAAGATAAGAAAAATAAGTTTTGCTAGAGAAAGAAACACATGTTTATACTTCTTCTCTGTCAAGTAGTTTAATGTTTTCATTAACGTCGCCGGTTTGAGTAGATAGGTTGAATTAGCTTAGAACTGAGTTAGCTTAGCTTAGTTTGAAGTGATTCATTCAACGTTTATAGCCATTTCCACAACATTTAACAGCTGTACTCAAGCTGTAACGTTATTGTGTTTGAAAATATGAACAAATACCCATAGCTTTCACAACAGTAACCTTACAGTGTATAGCCTCAATAGGAAAATGTTTAAATATTGTATGCTTACTTTGACTGTCGTTCTGCCATAGTGGGGTGAATTCTGCGCAAAATTTGCGACGTTTACGTCTCCTCATTCCTTGAAGTATCTACTTCAGAAAGTTCTTATGATTTACCATAACGTTACTAATGCTTGAGGACAGCAGCTGGGTTTCATCTATGGCACGTTGAGGGCGATATCATAAAGTGAGTCATGATCAGGGTCACATTCAAGCCTATTTGCAGGTTTTTGTGGTCTGTAACGTGATCGCTACCTGTATTTCCAATTTCTTCGAGTACCAGTGAAGGCAGCACAGTCAGGCATGCCATGCGTAGTTGCAGAGTTGATAGGTGGAAAAACATTACGTCATTACGTACAGCGGGACGTCTCGGAGAAGATAAACAAAAAGGAAGGAAGCCTTCGGCCATAGAATCGCGGCAAAATCGGTTCAAAAATTTAGCTTACAAGCTACAGTTAGCAACTACATGTGCCCCTTTATTGCTTAGATAATTACCATTAGGCGTTCGCAATCATGGACGAGGGGATAATATTTCGTATGAGCGCTTTTTCCGAGCAAGGGGGGAGGAAATACATGGAGGATGTTGTCGAGATAAGAATCGAGTACGAGCCGACGCAGTCGCCGTCGCCAGCCGAAGATTATCCAAAGTCGCAGGGATATGGAGGACAGGGGAAAGCCGAGAGTGGACCTACAAAACAGACTGAAAATGAGACACACGACCATGGCGGTGCTGCCGAGTCTGGCCCAGCTTCTGCTATGTGGGTAGAGAGTCTGGCGAATGAGGACAGTAGCAACAACAGCGCACCGGCATCAGAGGAAAAAGTCGCAGAGCATGCAGTCGACACTCGGAAGTCTGTGGCGTTTTTCGCTGTTTTCGATGGCCACGGGGGCCGAGAAGCGGCACATTTCGCAAGAGAGAATCTGTGGGATTTGTTGAAAAGGCAGCGGGGGTTTTGGTCCAAGGATCACAGTGAAGTGTGTGCTGCTCTCAAGAAAGGCTTCATCGCCTGTCATCATGCAATGTGGAAAGAACTACGTAAGTCATCAAACTTGTATTTTCCCCTTATGTATACAGCTGTCCTTTGCTCGTAAGTCGAACTGTCACATTCTCAGCAACGTTAAATAGCAAAGTGTGTCACATGAGACAGTATCCTACTCAGCTGGTATTCCCAGTGATCTGCCGACTGGCCCAGCCCCATCACAGAAACACAGGGAGCTGTAATCTGACCACAACACAGCTCTCAGAGTTGATAACGTCTACACTAAAGCTCTGATGAATGGTTTCATCACAGCATTAGATAAGTGGGTTAAGGGTTAAAAGGGAAAAATGGTACTCTAAAACCCTTCAGAAGACCCAAATAACTTAATTTAGTTGTGCAGTCTGAGTCTGTGCTTTATAAGACCATATTTCTGTCAATTTGGGCTTGTGTCCAGTTTCAGTCTGTTTATAATGGTTGTGGTGCTTGTGCTTCTGTTCACCCTGTGCATCACACACTTTCCTTTAGGCAGTGCATTACTATCTATGTAATATAGTTATTATTCAGTTTTTAACATCTGATATTGAAAGCGTGCGTAGGCCTATGTTGTTTACTCATCTCTTAATTTAATAAAGACACAATGTATAGTACAAGGGGTCAGAGAGGATTTGTAGAGGGTGGCGCTGAATCAGGAATTGGGTCTATAAAGGCTTTGAGAAGCAGGACTTATTGTGAAGTCTTCTTAGGGACTGTTTGTTACTTATGAGGGGGAGAAGGTGGTGCAAAAAGGAGGAGGCATGTTGAATAATTTTTAAGCACTGGGGGAGGGACTTTTGTTATTTATTTTTGCCTGAGAGTAGGGGCATACACATTTAAATGGTTGTGTTTATTTTACCACCAGTTTTAAAGACACCTTACCAAACCTGCAGGTTTTAAGGCATGTTTTCTGTATAAATCGCCAAAATTACACCATTTATCATAGCCAAAACCTTAAAAACAGAAACTATCAAAGGATTTTAAAATTTCTATCGTTCCTTGGACACGTGTGATGAATGCTTCCCTCAGATAAAAATCATAACCAAAGCTGAGCTTAAAATAGTGATATTTTATCAACGTCTCTTTACTCTACGTGCCATTTGAAATTTGGCCAAAGGGTTAGGGGTTATGCACAGACAAACCAGCATGCACAACAAGAGTGAAAAACTGAGGCTGTCTTCAACTTCAGGATTTTGTCTTTAACTTTTAAATATCAAAGTGTCAGTTTTAAAAATGTAATTACTAATTTATGGTGGAGGAAGGGTCATGCATTTTCCACCAGTCACTCAGGGAAAAATATTTGTAGCTTTGGGGTGGGTAATAAATGGAGTTACAATCCAGTCACCCCCCTCCTCTGATGAGTAAAGAACAGTCGCAAAGTGACAACATTAAAACACAGACCTGAGACATAAAACTCGGATCACATAAATTTACTATGAAGAAAAGCGAGAAGCAAACCATGATGTTCATAATAAACATATGATATGAATGATTAAATATTAAGGTGAAAATGGACAAAACCACAAAGCTAAGAGAACCCTTGGCAGCATGTTGTAGATCACCAGTAAACACCAATCCTGACTCAAGTATAGAGGAACTGTGTGCAGTAATAAGGGACTGTTGGGGTGTAATTTGGGAGAAAATGGTGTGTTTCAGTCTGGTTAGTAATACTGGATTAAAGGTCCAGTGTGTAAGATTTAGGGGGATTTAGTGGCATCTAGCAGTGAGGATTGCAGATTGCAATCAGCTGAAACTTTGCCTGGTTAGAATTCTCTCAGTGTCCATTGTTCAGCAGGTTTTTTAGCAGGAGCTGATTTATCCACAGAGGTCTCTTCTAGGGTTGGGCGATAATATGGTAATAAGGTATCCCACGGTATCTAAAAATAGCAACGGTCAGTTTCATTACCGTCATTAAAAAAATCTGCTGCCCATATAGGCCTACAGTGGCCTGATATAATATTAAATATAATTTATTTAATGTCTAAATAATGATTGTTTGTCCAGCACTTATGTATGTGTGGTTGAGTTTTCAATTTAATACTATTACAATTTAAAACTAATAATAGGCTATAATGTTTCTCGTAACTGTTGTCGGGAGATGACATTTGATAAAGTTTTTGGATGTGACGTCGTCACGTGACAGCTCAGACGTGAGAAAGAGAAGAAAAGATGGCAAGCCGCGCATCAAGTGAGTTGGTCCCCAAAAACCCACAACTTCACAACTTCTGCAAGCAGCAGCAGCAGGTCCAGTTTCCATCAGAGTGGAGGAGGGAGAAGCGCAACCTGAACCACCGAAAAACAGATGACTGTGGGCAGTCTCCTTCAAAGAAAAGCCGATGCGGCGGCAGGTCCAGTCGGCACCATACAGGAGCGAGCAGGAGCAGAGATAACTGCCTGTTGTCGTGAGCCTGTTATTCAGGGAGACGAAGACCTCCTTCTCAGGTGGAAATGTGATGGAGCCAGGCATTTTTCTCTGATGTCGAGGGCTGCCTGAAAGTACCTGTGCGTTTGTGCCACGAGCTCTCCATCAGAGCGCATATTCAGCACCGCGGCCAAAGTTGTCAATCCACTACGTGCCCTGCTCCAGCTGGAAAAATTAAACATGCTGGTTTTTCTTGCGAAAAACCTTGATTAGTTTTGAAGCATATGATGCTGCTATAGTTATCATTATACTTTGTTTTTATGTCATTTTCAATGAGGAGTAGCCTGTTCTGACAGACCAAAATAAACCAACGAACAGTATTTCCTGTTGCTTCTCAGGATAGGATTATATATGCCCATTTTCAGTCATGTCTTGTTATTTATTGTTCTGTTTTTCTTATTTGATAAGCCCTAGTACTGGATGCTGTGGAGCTGTGCTTTTAATGTATTTGATTTATGTTGATAGGTTCTAAACATAAACCATCGGACAGTAGCTGCTGCGGTCGGATATGCTGTATAGCACACATTATCGTTACCGCCGTTGTTATTTATTGATACTTTTTTGGAAGTGGACTGTAGCCCACAGACAGTGTTGTTATTTCATTCTGTTTGGGTGACTGCTGCATTTGCACTTTTTTAATATTTATTAATAAAAGTTGTTAGTGTTGTACATGTTTTGTTGTTATTTTTTCAGTATTCTTAGGCCTATGTAATGTTTGTTATTATGTTTCTGAACGTATAGGCACAAGCCGACATTTTTGCGACTCCCTCTGAGCCCTTTAAAGTGATTTTCAATTAGTCACGGTAATACCGTATACCCCAGGAAAATGTGGGAAAGGTTTAAGCCAGTGTTTGGTTTGTCTGTTCAGGGCTACTGTAGAAACATGGCGTTGCAACATGGCAATCTCAGTAGAAGAGGACCCACTCCTTATATAGATCTAAATGGCTTATTCTACGGTAACAAAAACACCATGATTCTTATTTTAAGCTAATTATACATTAAGAAAACATACTTATTATGTTATGTTATTGCCAGTATATTCCCCCAAATCCCACACACTGGACCTCTAAGTCGGCGCTGAAGCTAAGTCTAAAAATTTGCCTAAATGTGGCTACTCTGCTACTGGCTAATCCTACTGTATGTTTCTATGGTAACATGGGTCTAAACTATTTAATCCTGCTTTATGGAAAATGAATTTCTCACAAATAAGCCAGATTTACTCAAGTAAGCCTGTCTGATGTGGTCATCATGCTTTATAAACCAACCCTCTGATCCGTGGCGAGCAGGGTTCATCTTGATCAGTAGTGTTGTTTGACAGTGATAGTTTGCAGTTTGTTGGTTTTTTATCTTTTCCTGCTCTTTGTGTAACTAGTTCTTAATAACTGATATTTTTGATAACATTTTGGCATTGTGCCCTTACTGATACAGCATCAGTGTTTCCCTTACAAACTTTGACCATATTTGCTGGGGAAAACAAAGGGACTGGAGCACACTGATTGATTTGCAGCCTATAATTGTGCAAACAACTAACATTCCAACACCACTGTGTGTTCATCACAGTCAAAGACTGCATTTGATCAGCGAGTAACATTCATTTGTATTTATCTTTTTTCCTCTCACAGCGGAGTGGCCAAAGACTATTACAGGCCTTCCCAGTACATCAGGCACCACAGCCAGCGTGATTGTGATCCGTGGAGTTCACATGTACGTTGCCCATGTAGGGGATTCAGCTGTAGTGGTTGGAGTGCAAGAAAATGACTCTGATATCAGGCTCCAGGCACTCGAAATAACACAGGACCATAAACCAGAACTTCCTAAAGAAAAAGAAAGGATTGAACGACTCGGTGGCAGGTGAGTAGGTGAACAGGACCTCACGAAGCATTTTCAAGATAGAATTGTACTATAAGGTCAGGGGCTCTGTCAAACAGCCATATAACATCACATGAAAGGGCAAGTATTTTCTTGCACTTGTTCCTTTCAATATTGCTGTATTTCCTGTCAATCTTAAACAGTTCTCTTTGTACTGAATTGTGTTGTGTTGTTCTTGTAACTGTAGCGTAATGAAGAAATCTGGGGTGAACCGTGTTGTGTGGAAGAGGCCCCGGCTGACCCACAATGGCCCTGTGAGGAGGAGTACAGTCATTGACCAGATCCCCTTCCTGGCTGTGGCCCGATCGCTCGGTAAAGATGACACCCTGTTTGTTAGGTTTAGCGTCCATAAAGTTAAACTGTGTATTTGCAATGAATCGTTTTTGTTGTCATTGCTCCACAAGTGATCATGTTTTCTTATCTGTCGAAAGGTGATCTGTGGAGCTACGATTTCTACAGCGGGGAGTTTGTGGTTTCGCCAGAGCCCGATACCACCGTAATGACCCTTGACCCCAGACGGCATCGCTACATCATCCTTGGCAGTGATGGACTATGGAATATGATGCCACCCAAGAATGCAGTCAACATGTGTTATAGCCATGACAAAATGGTGGTACGTCATTGTACAACAAATGGCATCCAAACACAAATGTCGCACACAAATTTCCAATGTCAGAATGAAATCAAAAGAGTTTGATCTTGATTGTCTGGTGTAAGGTCGTTATAAAACTCACTCAGAGCTGTCTTAAGTCAGTCTTTTTCTCATTTTGACGCTTCAACAAAATCAAACATGTTAAATATTGTAAGTACATTTTTAGTCATGGCTCATGCAAATCTTAAAGTTCAATGCTATGAGCACTGTCAGCAACCAGTGGCTGCGCTCCCTCTAGCACCAACTAGGTAGATAGTAAATATAAAGGTGACATCAACGAGGCTCAAGTATGCAAATAAGTCTCGGTTTCCTCATACAGTGAAAAAGGAGGAGAAACTGGTAGAGCTGTTTCGTAAACAAGAGTTGTCATTTAATTCAGTGTGTATCTTATCCACCAACCACTACTTATTTTAATGAGAAATCATAACTGTTGAAATTATTCACCTCTCATTCCCACGCTCTTCTCTCACTAAAATAGCCCAAATAACCAATGGAGGCTGGTTGCAAGTTGAGACAAAAACATCCAAAATGTAAAGTTTGCCGAATTGCCAAGAGACTGTCAACATATGAGCCTTTGCTCTTGTGTTTCTAGAGTTATGTGTTACGGACACATAAGGAATCGTTAATTTGTCATATTTGTTTAAAGGAGTTTGGCGTAATATTTTCCACCAGGAGCAGGATGGGAAATAATCAAAAGGAATCTACCTGTAGTCTTGCAAATAGCGGCCCTTATCTTTAGATGTGAGAGGGTGTGAGACTTTAGTCTTTTCAAAGTGGGGATAATACACTGCATCAGCTTTTTTGAAAAGTGTCCACAATTAATCATGTCTTTTTTTTAATTATGATTCTGACAGGATGAAAGTAGTAGTCATAGTAGTATTTATCTTCACACTTTTCTTTCTCCTTCTACCACTTCTTTTTGTTTTAAGGGACCAAAGGGAATGTCTTGCGCCCGCCGACTAGGATGCACAGCCCTACTGTTCTGGAAAGAACGTATGCTTCGAGCAGACAACACAACAGTTATTGTCCTGGCACTACAGGAGCGCGGAGGCCCACCTATCCCTATGCATCGAGATGAGATTGTTGTCGACATGTCTACAGGAATTGACCATGTTCCATTCCCAGGGACTACTTATAACACATGTGAGGTCCCAAAGGTCAGTGCCATAGCTTTGCTGCATCCTCCTTTTGTAATGTTTCATTAGGACGAACCATATAAATCATACAGCAAAATGACATATATTTTCCAAATGCAGAGATGGTAACTGCAGGGAAAGGACCTCAGGGCCACTCTGACAATGGAAAAATATACTGAATATCTTTGTGTGTTTACATGTTGTTTGCTATTCACTGTATTGTCCTTTTATATATTCCAGTCCATGTTTTATTGTCATTTTGTTTAATACTCTCACCAGTTAAATTGTGAACACTTGTAGACACCACTGGCTCTTGACCGAAGGTCATACCAGCAGTTTCTATCAGTGGACCACTGGTTTCAACAAATCACTCTTTGTTTTCGGGGTCAACAGGAGGAGCATGAGGATGACATGTTTTTTGAAGAAGATGAGATATTTGGAGAAGAACATGAGGGATGGCCATGCCTGGAGTGGTAGTGAGGTGACTGCTCAGTTATAAAAATGTATCAAAGCGTCAGCAACATGACCATCCAGTGACTTATATTACCTATTAGCTGAATAGTCGGGTTTGTCTTGTTGAACCTGGTGGCAAACATTCAGCTATTTGGACATAAAAATGCCAAACTTCTGCACATCTGATTGGTCCTCTCTGCCTGGGAGCACTGATTATAGTGGTATTGATATTGCACTGCTTTAGGAGAGCTGTAGATCATTCTTTAGATGTGTTGCTCAGTACTAACCCAAGCCATTTGTGAAAGTGAGATAACCGATTTAAAATCATTTTATATTTTTGTTAGTAAAAGATGATAACCATCACCAGTGCCACCTTACCATTCTTCCCACTATAGCCAGTAGAGGGAGACAGTGTAGTCCCTGACCTATTAAAGGATATTGAAGACATTTTAAAAGACAATTCACAGTGCCATCAGTCATCAAGGTATACTAGATACCCTTAGTTTCCTCTGCTCAGTCTTAAAGGGATAGTGCACCCAAAAATGAAAATTCACCCATTATCTACTCACCCATATGCCGATAGAGGCTCAGGTGAAGTTTTAGAGTCCTCACAACACTTGCGGAGATCTTAGGGGAGAGGGGGTAGCAACACAGCTCCACCTAATGGAGGCTTATGGCGCCCCAGATTCAAACGTCCAAAAACACATAATTGAAACAACAAAGTATCTCCATACTGCTCGTCCGTAGTGATCCAAGTGAAGCCCCGACATAAAAGTTGTTTGTAAAAACGTCATTTGAACTCTAACTGCCTCTCTGTGCACTGTGTTCACATGTGTGCGCTTGCACGTGAGACCAGCGAAAGCACGTGAACACACATGAACGCAGTGCCCATGTCTCACGGTCTCACAAGCGCGCACATGTGAGCGCGTTTGAATCTGGGGCGCCGTAAGCTTCCATTAGGTGGAGTTGTGTTGCTACCCCCTCTCCCCCTTAGATCTCCGCAAGTGTTGTGAGGACTCTAAAACTTCACCTGAGCCTCCATCGGCATATGGGTGAGTAGATAATGGCTGAATTTTTATTTTTGGGAGCATTATCCCTTTAATGTGCTTCAGGTGAGAAAACAGTTTTAGAAATTGCTGTAGAAGAAATGATCGAACAAATGGCACAAACATTATTTTTAATATTCCTATTAATTCTGTCCCCTCATTTAATTTTGGTAAAAGACAGTATCTGAAGACTACGTATGTACTTTCCATGACTCTTCTTTGGAAGGAGAAGATGTTTATTTGATTTTCTTATTTTGCCTCAATGGTACTTTTGAACAGACCATTTTTTAAAGTAAATAGCTTGGAGATGGAGACCTCTGAGAATGCTTCTACCTCAAAGTTCTCTACTTACACAATGTAGTGTGACCTTTATCCACTTTATGAACTTCCTGTTAGCTCTACAGTAACATTATCTTTACCAAAGATCCACCGTCTTTGACTTTATTTCTGACCTCTGTGATCACAGTGCTTTTCATCCTTAGGTTAATTAACGATACTTCACTTTTCACCGTTAGCTTTGTGTGAGCTTAGCCAGTCAGCTAGCCTAGCTGGCTACTAAAATGAAAAAAGCACTGTCAAAAAGGGCCATAGCAGCTGACATTAGTTAAGTTCTAAAAATCAAGCTAATGTTAGTGCTATATTGGGTGACTAACATTAGCTATCATTTATCTTCTTAGACAGTGAGGTGATTATCAAAAGGGTCAAAAATACTTTATACAAAAAGGAACAGCTAATGCTATTAACAATTTGTGAGATACAAAGCCAACTGTGAAATGTGTTGTCTGTTTACTTCCTGTCAACTCTGCAGTAATGTTACTACCTTAGCCCCCAACCTCAGTGAGCCCTAACCCAAGTTAGTTCATATTACTTCACTTTTCACAGTTAGCTTTGTACATATTGTAAATAGTATTTACCATTGATTGATTGTTTTAAAAATCACCTTGGTGTCTTAAATAACTGTTAGCGACATTAGCTAATCGCTTAGTTTAGCAACAACGTTAGCCTGATGTTCAGAGCTTAGCTAACTCTAGATTCCTACGGCTCTCTCTCTTTTACACTTAGTGCTTTGAAGAGCTACCAAAAGTATTAAAATGTCTGACGTACCCTGTCTTACGAAAGCGAGCAGTAAAACTCCATAGAGCTGATCACCTTAATACACTTGATGGTGTTTTTCTTCATTTTAGTAGCTAGCTAGGCTAGCTAGCTAGGCTAGCTAGCTGGCTAACCAAGCTATTAAAATGATCAAAAACACTATGTGGAACAAGAACAGTAAATACTATGAACAATATGGACAAAGGTGACTGTGAAAAATGAAGTAACTAACTTAAAGGATGAAAAACCACTTTGATCACTAAGGTTGGAGGCGAAGGCTAACGTTACAGTTGACAGGAAGTAAACAGGCGTGAAGTTCATAAAACAATTATACGTCACACTACATTGTGCAAGCAGAGAAATACCAAGCTCCAGCATTCTTCACAGTGAAACTCATATGTCTACATTGACTGCCTACATTTTCTACATCATGCACCACACCTAAAACTCAACATAGAACCATTTGAACACATCTTAATCCGATATTGTTTCAAACTGTTGTTTATTTTCATGATTTTAGTCTTTGTCCATTTGTAACAGCTTTCATCTCTATGTCTCATTTTTAAAGAAAGTTGTGTGTGACAGAATTTGAATGAATGTAGATTTTACAAATAAAGGTGTAATACTGGTATCAGTAATTTGATTGAATAAATTGGATCATGAAATGTTACATTTTAATATTGATTTAGTTTTTATTCATTTTATTTCAGTGGAGTGATGCAGTGAATGCTTCCCCATTCAAAGAAAGTTCCATGGCTCTGGAGCAGGCATTTGGGCTGTATGAAGCAGCCTCCTGTGCCACAGCACAGCTCTTACCGGACGTTGACTCTGTGAGGGCCACACTGCCCCCCTCAGACGGTTCAGTGAATGATTTTGAAAAGCAAGACTCAACAACCCAAATGGACTGCGCCACTCCTGCTCCTCCATTAAAAAGGTCTCGCCGTTCCCAGCATACCCCCCCTGAACTTAGATGTCCTCCCCGTCGGCTCGGCTGGTCCTCCAACAAAAGTTTCCCCCAGAAGACGACTCATAGCAATGTACAAAGTGAATCCCGTCAAACTCGCGCTCAAAAGAGAAGCTCCTCTGAGGAAAGCAGTATCCTACCACAGCACCACAATGCCGCCTTGTGCGTGTGTTGAATCTTGTCTCACAGAAACAGTGTTTTCGCCCTGAGGCCAGAAGGATAATCTGCATCGTGTCAACCTTGCTCATGTATCAGGTGTGCCACAGGCCTATTCCTAGATGTATACTTTTTATACAGTCTTTGTTTTTGTAAATAAGTGAGAAATTTGCGATTGTAAATGTGTTGCTGTTTTAACTTTTTCTTCTTGCTCTTCTTCCTGCCCCCTCTTTAAATTTTAGTCAATAAAATTTTAAATTTTAGATCCATTCAATCTACACAATCTATTTTCATACTTATGAGTATGTATAGTATATCCGAAAGATGTAGTTTGAAGAAGATGGATCACTACAGTCTAAGAGAACATCAATTTACCAAATTTGTGACACATGCAATCTTCCAGTTTTCATCCAATGACTTCACTATTTTATTTTTAATTTACTTGTTGGAGTCTTTCCTTTATTTTGGTGAAAACCTCAGACCAGTTGTTTGGAATCTTTCCTCTCATGAAACGTGCTACTCAGCCATTAATAGGCTTTTCTTTTATCGTTTAATCAGGTGCAATAGAAGCCTCTGGCAGTGGTAATACTGTAGCATGCAAAATAATGGAAAAACCTGACAAGCAGTGGTCTGAGGTAATTATGTGGGTACTGACTTTTAAGGCTATATTATTTGTTTTGTGTCTTTACCAGTGGCTAAATATACTGTCAAGATCACAATTGCTACTCAGCTAATTGTTGTATCTCATGCATAGCTTACGAGGTGGTGTTAAAGGGTCAGTTTACCCAAATCAGAAAATAAAAGATATACCCCAGTGGTATCTATCCATGTAGATACTGTATTGTGATTTTAGTGAATTGACCCTTTGATGGTACTTTGCTTGATATATTTTGTGTGTGCTGGAGAGTCATATTGATCCATTCCAAGCATGTCAATTTATGATTTGGCCAATGGGTATTGGTACTGTTTTGGGTGCTGATGTATAAGCCAAGATCAATACCTGTGCCTCAGTGGAAGGTGGTAGGAGTCTGTTTTGCCCTGTTTGTATAACATCCAGTTTCAGTGCCCACTAGGCACTAGAACCATTTTGATAGGCCTTCCTCTTTGTTTTCATATAGTACTGTATATTCTTGTGTGTGGTTTGTTCCCATAACTTGTGTTTTAATCTGCACTTAAAACACCTTATGGTACGAATGCAGGAAGTGCCCGTTTCATGATAACTAGTAATTTACCATTTGTGTTGATATGGCAGCTCAGCTACTGTTCTAGCTGATTTCTTTGCCTTCATGTTACATAAGAGTCATGGTTGCCTTAGCACAAATGAGTCACAGGTGCTTTTCACAGGTTTTCCTATTTGGGACTCAAACGGGTTAGAATATCTAGGATATGTCAATGTGTCTATGGCCGTGGCCCAGCTTCAACTGTTTGTCATGCACCTTCAGTTCTATACCAGTGTCATTTTGCCATCCACACTACAGCATACTAAACCTGGTTCATGTTTTACAGTTCTATTACAGAGCAGTTTAATGGTTTTGTACAGTAAGTCAATATGCAATAGAAGTTTGTACAGTACATTATTATGCAAAGTTATTGGGGGTTTTCAGGAGTCTGGCATGCTCAGATCTACTCTCTATGTTGTGAAGTGTCCAGAGGTAATGGATGTTAATGGGCATGTTTGTTTTTTTGTTTTGTTTTTTTCTTGGCAATTACAAAACTTGGGTCTGGCTTCATATCCATTGGAGCCAGTTTTCAGGACTAACTGTATAAGCTACATGCTTTGAAAGTGACTTGATATACAGTGTCTGTGTGGTGTAATAAAGTTCTCATTTTCCAATTGGTGCTGTTACATCCGCTGCAGTGTCTATGTTGTTCACACAACGATATCCAACCCTGTGTGTGAAACTGCTATCATGACTTTAATTATTGACTAAAACATGTATCTGTTTCATTAAGTAACTTGTTCATCAACTTTGTTAACAGAACATTGTTTACACTGGCTTCAGCTACAGCGTAGCTTGAATATAGAGGTAAGACTTGTACTCACATTTGTAGAGGGTGCACCGGTGAAATGTTCCAGTAGATGGCGCTAATGTAAAGGGATTAAACAGTTGTGTTTCTACAGTAACAAGTCTCTTAAGTACAATGTACACACAGTGACCTACAATTTAAATTTCACAGGTCTGGGTCAGTAACATACTAAGCACATATCTTGGCCTTTTATGAAATGTGGTTGATAGTGACTTAATATGTAGATGGGGTTAACTATTAAAAGGTTGAGTCAATCGATAGAGCTTATGTCTTTCTATTTGTCACTTTTTTTAAAAAATTCTTTTTCCAGTGAACTAGTAAGAGGACCTTGAGTTGAGATCAGTGTTGTAGTCAAGACCACCTAAACTGAGACCAAGTCAAAACCAAGACCAGTCTAGTGTGCGTCCCACGTGACAAGACTTACGATAAAATGATAAACATACAAACAACAGGCACTCTTCAAATTGATCTGAAGGATCCACATCCTCATAAAAACACCCACAGAAACCTTTTTTTTTTTTTTTTTTGCTATGCTGCACTATGTGTCTGTATAGCCTTATCACTGTGGCGTCACACTAACAGTTCTGGGTAGACAATGGCCATTGTTTTGACTGTGATGTTTAAAGATATATACTTCAGCATTGTGGTCTTCCTTTTCTGATGTTTCTGTTGTGCTAATTTTATGTGCTGTGCTGTTCTAGCATCTTTTAGAACCCTTATCTACCTGCATGGAGGATATGCAATGTACTGCTGTGGACGGGGGCAGCAGCAAAATGTGCTTTAGTTACCTAGAAACACCCACCTAGAACAATCAATAACAGTTTAAGTGTGTACCATTATATTGTCATTGCTTTACCTTACACTAACTGATGGAGGCATGACGGGGGGCTGAAAACTAACCAATTTAGGCAGCATTTGCTCAGCGTTGTTTCATTTTATGTACGTGACATGGAGGTTTTCTACCTGGAAGTTACTGTAACAAACATTGTGAATTGGTCTTTAAGTACCATGAGAAATGTTTTGATAAAATAATCAAAAGGCATTGCATAGGTGAACATTATGTATGGGAATTTTGTTTTGTATGACCAAACAAATACAAACAAACATGGAGGAGCTAAAATCAAGTGTCTCTATTCAACACTCCCTTTTTTGCACAGGCAATATAATGATATTCTCACAGTTGTGGTCTTGACAGGTCTTGAAATAAAATCCCAACTGCTCTTTGTCTGAGATCGAGACAAGACAGTGAAAATGCAGATGAGTCAAGATGAGACAGAGACCTTCAAAAAGTGGTATGAAGACTTGTCTCGAGACCAAGACCAATATTAGGCACTACAATACTGGTTGAGATTGTTTTGTCAAACTGCTGTTTCCGAGGTCACGAAAGAACTATCAGTCAAAAAATGGAAAAGTAACATTATGTTTCATGATAACTGAGCAAACTCCATCTACTGATGTGTATAGTCCAAAGCTCCAGAATGAGCAAGTAAGCAAACCTCGAACTGAAAATAACTCTTGGCATACTCCAGTGTCTGTTGTAATCATTTCAATCTGCATTCTTTCAAAAGAGAAGGGTGTTGCCATTGGATGAGGCTAGTAACGTGCGCTTGACTTGACTCCGATAAAGGTAAATGAAAAACATCCCTGGTAATTTTTTCTTGTGATATGATGGGAACACATTTCTTGTCCTTACCCAGGGTCTGTTTCTGAGACATTACAGACATCAGATCCATGATAGCAGTGTCTTGACTTGAATATTTCATCGACTGTCAGCCCAGCATCTGCTGACCTGCCTAACATGCAACATTCCCCTCTTACTGCAGACAGTCTGTCACTGTACATCAGCCAGTGGAGCGTGTCATTGTCCACCACCTCTTCATCTACTCCCCCTCCTCATATTTCTTACAAATAAGCGTCATCCCAGCAAACTAGGTGGGACTCAGAGAGCAAATATTGTTCTGACACTCTATTCCTTACATTGCCAATACTGAAACACCTTTCTTTACACCATATTTATGACAGTGTGAGGGCTTTAATGGAAAGATTGGATGTAACAGACCCCTGATCAGAAAAGGTGTTAACCAACATACAAGTTAATGGATCCTGCCTTCTCTGGCCCACCTCTGAATACATAGCAATTTCGCACACACACACTCTGAAGGTTTTTTCTTTTCTATCTAACTCCCAAACTGTGGTCAATGGCTTGTGTGTGTGTGATTGGAACATTTAATGATTTTTCAAAATTTGTTTCGTTCATCAGTTGTGGCTCCAACTCCAAAGGCTGTGTTGTGCTGTCCTAAGAGGTCTCCTTAGCTGGTTTTCCTTCCTTTGCTTCCTTCATATGATCCCAAAAGATCCTGCATGACGCTCATTTAGCAGGGTGATAGAACACATGGGAGGGAGATCAGAAGACATTTTCAAGCGCCGTATAAAGCTTTTAATTTTACATTCTAAGATAGTCTAAATTACAGCTGTAACATTTTTATTCAACTGCTATACTTCGGTAGATCTGTTACAGAATCTGCTACATGTTAAAGAAACAAGATAACCTTGATTTCTAAAATATGTTCCCTTTCATCCTAATCACCCAAACCTTACTGGAACAGTCAAGCAGAAACAGATAGATTTAAGGAAAAGTTTGAGTTAATGAGTGGAAAAACAGATGCTGACCTGAAACTCAAGCTCTTCTGGCAGGGTGGTCCGATGCCTTACTTAATCACTTAATGTTGTCTTATCCTTTCATTTCATTGTCATCCAACTGTTCTGAATGGTAGCCCCACTCTTTCTCCTGTCAACCAATACAACAGGCATTTATATGTGGCTTTATAATTTGCTTCATTAAATTTTTGTCATTAAATTAGGCCAATGTTAATCTGGCACCTAAAAGGTGCAATATGTAAGCTGTGGCCAGAATTTTAGTTGAAAATATTCAAAAATGAACTAACAATATCAAAGAATATGAAGAAGTGAGAGTTTTGACATCAAAGACGTCTACTGCAAAGGCATTTACTGAAATGAGCATGCTAACCGGCTAGCCCAGGCCCGTCCTGTCTTGTAACACCACTTGTACCTCATGAGGCGATAGTGAGTCACCGTAGCGTCCAGTCTGCCCTCAGTCCACTATGAGAGGATGAAGAAGTAGAGCTACCAAGAGGGCTTGTCAATTACATTGAAGGCATTGCCCTGCATTGTTATGGATCCCACAGCTTTTTTAAAAATGTACCGTCCTACTGTGCTGTGATTGGCTAGAGCACGAAACATTGCTTGTCCAATCATGCCATACAAATGTTTCGAGAGCAGGGCCACAAAATCTTCACTATGCTGTAACTGGCTGGAGCCCAACTGTGCTGTAATTGGCTAGAGCATGAAACGTTCATCCAATCATACTGTACAAACGTTTGGAATGCAGTGGGACCAAAAAAAAGTCAGAGTCCACAGCAAATTTAGTCAGCGGACACTAGAGGAAAGCAGACAGAGGGCCTTCGGCTGTGGGCACAGCCCGGCTGACCTTCTGCACTCCCTCTGGTTCTCTGGCAGAGAGGCAGAGCACATCCTGGGTCAGTGGCTGCATAGGGGCTGTGGGATATAGCCAGGCAGCTGAGAGTCAACCCAGAGCCGGCAGAGCATGCTGGAGGCTTTACCAGGGCCAGAGAGGCAGTCATCGCGGGTGAGAGGACAGCCAGGGCCCGCAGAGCATGGTGGAGAACCAAAGGGAGGGTGGGTGGTCTGAAGGGTACATGTCCATGGCTGAGTGCCTGCTGTTGGCTGTCTTCCAGTGTACACACACCCCTGAATTTGGAGCCTTCAACATGCTCTGCAGGCCCAGGCTCTCCTCTGTGGTCAGAATCAACACTCTTCCATCGCCTTGCACAAGCATGGACACCTGGCCAATCCTAAAGCTTGAATGCTATGTGAGGCATGTCTTGCAAAGAGAGGTGGGATCTATAATAAAGCTACAGCCCCTGGTTGAGTTGGTTATTCCATCCACTTTAAATGACACCACGCCCACTTCTGCATTACAAGAGCAGGCTGCCAGACGTCAAGGCCCCATGACTGGCTGCTACCCTAATGCTGGACAGCTACATTGAAAGAGAGCCTCATTCAACCTCATTCTCTGCCATTTGGAGGCTACAAAACTGGAAAATTTGCGGATTCAGTGGGGAGACGGGGGCAGTCACTGAAGGTACATGACAGCTACAGTAGCTTGGAAAAATAGCAATGAGGATAGTTGAGGGGAAACTTTGTTGATTTTCAACCAGCTCTGTCATCGGCTGAACTGGCTGAACTGGCTGAACTTTTGCCAGCAGATGAGCAGGAAGATCTGGGCACTCGCGGCATGGAGTGGAAGCCAAACACCATTTTTGTTTTGTTTTATTCATTTTACCAGGCAACTAACTGAGAACATTTTATTATTTACAGTGGCAATCTGGCAATTATCTGCACACACTGCACACACTGTGATTTCCCTGTAGTAACTCAAACTCAGTGTTTTTTAGAGAAGTTGGCACTTAAGAAAACTCATAAAGTCAAACTGTGCTGTTTCACGGGGTGCCCAGCAATGACACACCTCTTCGAGCCAGCACCTGACTTCCTGCCTACCACAGCAGTAGGCTGGCAGCCATCATTGGGCATTGACATCTGGCAGCCCACTTTTGTCATGGGTGTGGTTTCCTCTAAAATAGGCTGAAAAAAAATACTTAAAACACCCTTTAATTGGCAGAATGGAACACAAAGCTGGCTGAAGCTCATGGCAAGCAACCTTTATCACCATCCCAACTGTCTGCTCCCAGCAAGAAACCATGTTCAATGGCAAAGAAAAGAAGTGATCGAAATATTAGCTTGGTATTCCACCAATGAGGACAGCTCTTTTGCAAATAAAGACATAACGTTTTACGCTAAACTAGTCTAAAAGAAATATTGCATA